TTGGCTTCTCCAGTGTAGCGCTCCGAACACTCCTCTTTGCATTGGACTGCATATGCTATATTGCTCCTGTTGTGTTTTGGTGTCCGAGTCTCTCCCTTATCTCCAAAAAGCTACTTGGATGATTAGTGAAACATTTCAGCTTAATAAGGAAGAAGTCCAGTTACCATAACTTCCGGAGATCTAGAGTTGAGTGAGTTGTAGAAGATCCCAGCTTCGGTCTGTAATGCCTCCATCAAATATGACCTTGAGTAGTAGCATAGGGTTCTGTCAGCCAAAAATCTTGTAAAAGCACTGTTTGTGTGGATAAATTCTGGTGTAGCTGACCCAATATCAGAAAGGTGTCGTAGGGTCTCTTTCTTCCATGACATGAACAATTTGATAGCGCGTCACATTTTGAGGATCTAAATGCCCCCACAGCTTTGACTACCACAGTACTGTAACTGATATTATGAATATTGGAAGAATCCTTAAAGAAAGAACTGCTCAGTACTAGAGGTTTTTCAATAAAAGTGCATTCTGTTAAATACTTGTTTCAAGCCCAGTTAGGTGGAATACATCAGGGTCCAATTAAAAGCTAGGAAATTGATTGTGCTTCGGAAGGTCTGTCTCTCCCCCTCCCCCTCCCCCCTTTAGTCACGGGGCAGGGGTGTATCATTATGAAGCTGGCTGCTTGGTGCCTGAGGAGTTGTATGCTACAATAACAGAAGGCAGGCATACCGTAGTTTGGCATTTGAAATCCGTGTCAGGGGAATTCAAAGCAGCCAGGATGCCCTAGATTGAGGTACTGACCTGATCCAGGGAATTCTAGTTGCAGCTGTTAAGCCAGTGAGAAGGCCAGACAGAATACCTCCTGAAGGAACATCTATGAGGTACAGAGAGTGGTTGCAGCTGAGCACAAATCTGACTGTGTTGGCATTACTGCCTTCTCAGTGGTTATTCCAGATGTCCATTTTGTGTTGGTCTGTACTACTCTCAGTAGTACTTAATGGCTGAAATCCTTAGTGAATGGCAACTAAGGTAGTGGAACTTATGGAAGAGTTCTCACAAAATCACCACTGATTCAATGAGCCTACTCTAGTTGCAAGTAACTACAATGGTGCCTCGCTTAATGATTTTAATTGGGTCAAAAAAAATCGCTATGTGAAAACATCATTAAGCGAAACACCATTTCCCGTAGAGATGCAGTGAAAACTGGATAATCCGTTCCAATTGGAATGGATTACCGTCCTTAAGCGAAAATCGCCATAGGAAAAAGCGTTAAGCGAAACGCGGTTCCTCCATTGAAATGCATTGAAGCCTATTTCAGTGGGGGGGGGGAAATTCACAAAAATTTCAAAATGACTCAGAACAAAGCCAAATTAAGTTAACAAAGGTTTTATTAGGTGCACTAATGATTCCAAGCATTTTAAACATTTTTAAACATTTTAGAATATTTTAAAAATAGCGAAAACGGGGCTATCAAAAAAAGTTAAGCGAAACAAGGGGACCTAAAACCAAAAACATTAAGCGAAGCATGGTCCTGAAATCGTTAAGTGAAAATCGCCCATAAGGAAAATCGTTAAACGAAGCACAAGGTCGCTCCGAAAAAAACGTTAAGCGAATTTTTCGTTATACGAAGCAATCGTTAAGCGAGGCACCACTGTACTGGATTTCAGCTAATGTATGCTCAAGAAGCCTGTGAAAAATTGTATGTTGACTTATGTATATGTATGGAAGAAGGCTTGAGAAAAAAACCCATTCTTGACCGGTTGACCAGGGGGATTTTAAAAAGGGATTGTTTTACTCTGTTGTTTTACTTGTATTTTTAATGTTGCTGTGATAATTTATTATTTAGCTTTTAACTTTGTTTGTTTTAATACTGTAAGCTGCCTTGGATCCTTAGGAGAAAGGCAGCATACAAATATTTTAAATACCTAAATGAATATATTTTTGGAATAATGATGTCACTGAGTACTTGTTGAGTAATAATTTCTGTAGTCTCTCTCTCTCTCTCTCTCTCTCTCTCTCTCTCTCTCTCTCTCTCTCTCTCTCTCTATCTCTCCTATCTATCTATCTATCTATCTATCTATCTATCTATCTATCTATCTATCTATCTATCTATCTATCTATCTATCTATCTATCTAATTCAGTTTATATACCACCCATCTAGCTACCTGGGCCACTCTGGGCAGTTCACAATGAAAGGAACAAACATTAGATAAACATAACAACTTCTCAAAATTAAATATTATTTCTTTAATTTAATTTTTGTTCAGCCCCAACCCAGGCTTGTCACTTTTTAAAATAACTTTCCAGTAACATTGAAGTAAAGGGCAGCCATGTGGTCCAAACAAAATTAAATCCAAATGCAAAAGTAGGCAATATCTTTATAGACCACTTAAAAATCATCATGCAATAAACTCAGCTTTCGTGGATTAAACACCTCTTCATCAGGATAGTGCCAGTGTAAAGAATTTAAAGTGCAAAAGTAAACAGCAAGGTGGCTTTTTGTTTGACACCAACCATTAACCACACCAGGCCTCGTGGTTGAAAAATGAAAAATATTTATTTTTATTACAATATAATTTATATCATTCATTTTTTATATTATTATAACTGCTCTAGTCCATGCCAACTGCAGTTTATTCCCTTTCACCAATCAAAACATCAGCATCTTGTATCTAGGTACATATAGTCTCTCTTTGGCTTTCTGATCATACCAGTTCTTTTTGCTTTTGCTCCACTTTCTGTAGATTCTTTCCAGCAGCCTTTCAAGCAGTTCTCAAAGTGTTCAAAAGATTGTCCATGTGATGACAGCTTCAAGATCTTTTCTGGATTCTTGCTCCCAGTTCTGTCTCAAAAGGTCGAGACATCCTTGTACCCGTCCCTGTGTACAACTCAAAGGGGCTGAATCCTAAACTCTCCTGGGGTACATCCCAATAAGCATATAATAGAGGTTGTGGCTTTACATCCCAGACATTCAGATTTTCAACCACGTATGTTTTAATCATCCAACCCAGGGTCCCATTAAATCTTTCCACAAGTCCATTAATTTCCGTATGATATAGAGTAGAAGTCAGATATTTGGTGCCACAAGCTTTGCCCAATCTTTGCTTTAATCTTGAAGTAAACTTCATACCCAAATCTGAAACTATCTCTCTTGGAAATCCCAATCTGCAAAATACGTTCACTTAGACATTAGCTACAGTGCTGGCTTCTATATTGTTCAAGGGAACAGCTTCTGTGGTAGCATGATCTACCACCGTGAGGAGGCATTCATTTCTGTTTCATGTAGCTGGTAAGGGACCAACTGTGTCTATGCGAGTTCTCTTAAAAACCTCATTAATAACTAACACAAGACATAATTTGGCTTTTGTCTTGTCCTTTTTATTGCCTATTTCCTGGCAGGTATCACAGGATTTTCAATACTGTTTAATTTGCTGCCCCACTTTCATCCAGAAGACTTTTTTGGATCATTCTCTGGGTAGTTCTGGAGATTCTCGGGTGTTCCTCAAATGCATTGCTATGAACCATTTCCAGTATTCTTCCTTTATATTTATTAGGGGCAACTGTTAATGTCTTCCCCCTTTTCCATTATGGAGTTGTTTCAGGGTTTCCCTATATAATTTATCCTGCATCATTATAAACCTTTCTGGGTTTTTTGGTGACAATTCAAGGGGTTCTGACTTCACCAAGGGATAACAGGGAAGGGGCCAACCTTAATCTCCCGAGGGTTCCATAGCCTGGGAGTTGCTACAGAGAAGGCCCTCTCCCGTGTCCCCATCAGCTGTGCTTGCGCTGACAATGGGACCGAGAGGAGGGCCTCCTCTGCTGATCTTAATCGTCGAGAAGTCACATATAGGGAGATACAGTCCTTCAGTAGCCTGGGCCCAAGCTGTATAGGGCTTTATAGGTAATGACCAGCACTTTGAATTGGGCCCAGAAATGGACTGGTAGCCAGTGCACTTCTTGTAACAGGTGCATTATAGGCTCCCTGTCGCTGGCCCCAGTCACTAGTCTGGCTGCAGAGTTTTGCACCAGCTGATTTCAAACCTGCCGCTTACCAGAACCAAAGTGATGATAATGGAGAGGGTGAGGCTAGCTGGCTGTCCCTCTTCATAAGTTTGGCCTACCCAGATAGCAGATGACTAAATGAACCCATAGGGCTTAAATCTTCATGCTGTAGAATTTTGAGATTGTCCATAAAAAGTATTGAGAGTGCCAGCTAGAATCAGACAAGGTGAACTAATTGGTAACATGAATATTAATTCTAATTTGAAATTTTACTGGTTTTTTAAATATTCTTTTAAAATATTTTAAGACTATCAGGTAGCATGTGCCTAATGCTAGTAATATAAGAGTAGTAAAGGGTTCATTTAATCTAAACCTGCTGGACATGTGCAATACTGGGTTTTCCTGGTAGGTGTGCCTTGAGTTCTAAACTATGGTAATAATTTTTTTTCCATTGAAGCAGTGTATGTTAGCCAAAATGTCTACTTCCGGCTGTAGAGTTTCAGAAACGCTAAAGATAGATTCTCCATAGAGATATTGGGATGCATGGTTTTAGGGGATATGTTTTGTGTATTCCATGTAGTAGTGTAGGAAACAACAATATTATACTTTAAAAACAATGCAGATCTATATGCTTGATTCTACAAGCAAACAGCTGGTCCTGTTATAGTTTGCTGATAGATCCTCATCTTTCAAATGTCCTGTTCGGATAAGACTTGATTTCATTTTGGTAGGTTTCTTGTCTTAGGCTTGCTTAAATTTAATGTCACTGTGGTACAAATAATGTTATGTATTTTTCTTTAACTTTTGCCATTTGCAAGAAATGGCTTATTTAAACCCAAGGCAGTTTCACCCCCCTGTGCCTCCTTTCAGCAATGAATTAAAGTTTCTTTTTGATTGAAACTCTGATGATCAGAGTTTGATTAAACTCTGATTGATTGAAACTCTGATGTTTGTTTAATTTTCTCCTTTCTCTTCCTTTTCATCTCCTGATCTTTGCTGCTATCAGTAATCAGTTCAAGAAGTTTCCCCAAATGACCTCATATCACAGAATGCTTTTACACCGGGTTGCTGCTTATTTTGGCATGGACCACAACGTAGACCAAACTGGGAAGGCCGTCATTATCAACAAAACCAGTAACACAAGAATGTAAGGCAAGAAATTGTTTCAGTCTGTTTGGGATTGGGGGAGGGGGGAAATAATTGTAAATGAATACTGTACTTTATAATTTATATAGTTCTCTAGGATATCCAGAGATCTTCAATAGTAATATTATTTCATGTTCTTGGACTGCAATTCCATCTCCACTCCCCACTACCAGAATTGGATTACAATTCCCCAAATTCTCTTGAGAATTCTACAAGAGAATTCTGGTGGCTTTCTTTTTGAAAGTTCAAAACCACAAATTTCTACCTCTTTACACAGCAGAACAAACACTTGCCCTCCTCCTGCTTCTTCTTACCAAGCACGAGGAGCACCTTGCCATCTTTTCTCTATCCTTATGGACATGGGCCGGGGTGTGAGTGTGGCAGAAAATGAGAAAGAAAAGAGAGCCATTGGAAGCTTGACAACTTTTGCTTCTCAACTTACAATTGACAAAAACGGAAATGCACTATGAGAAATGTAGTTGAAGTTCTCACCTCTCTGTGGTGCTAGAGCCAGGTGGAGACATGAACCTTAGCCAAGTGCCCCATGGTGCATTTTGATTTTCTTCAACGGCAAGTCTTTCATCTGCTGTGTTAAACTTGAGAGAAGGTGGCATGCCCCAAGCCTGCTTAGTAAGTTAATGTGAGAGATGAATGAAGAACGCCCGCATTTAGAGTGTCTTCTCTTGCCTGTTACATTTCCTTTTTTAAAAAGGCACTCATGGTCCTTTCATGTTGTGGTGTTTTCTTTCATATCCTTCATGTCCTCTCCTTTTTGACTTTTAGACAGGGAAGTTCTTTGTCCCCGAAACAGCAACGTTCATGGATATTACGCCTCACACGTATTATCTGCTGATCCCTAGACCTTTCCCCTGTGATCAGAGAATTCTAGGGGTAGTGAAGGGAATCAATAATATTATTACCTGCTGGATGCAGCTTATGTCTGGCTATTGAGTCCCTCTCCATTCATTTTGGGCTTCTTCCCCATTTGTTTTGCTTCCCTTCAGTGAGAAAGGGGAAGTTTTATCTTTCCTCCTGCTCTTTTTCCTCGGCTTCTAGTATATGCCGTGGATTTCCAGAGTACTATTGGTTAGATGTGTGTTGATCTGCCTTTGGTTTCTTTGATGCTTTCTAAAGTGGTCTGATCTGAAGAGCCTCCTCACTGCTACCACCACAAGAAAACTGTGAAAAGAAGTCACAATTCAATCCTCCATGGGCAAATCCTGGGCAAGAGGTTTCTTCCCACCCCCATCCGTGGCCATAAAGAGGAAAAGCCTTTCACTATCTGGCAGCAATTTTATTGTGAGCAGATCTTCACTTGAAAAGTCTTCTCTGGATGCTAGGAGTAGTTTTAATTCAAGCCAGAGAAGAACTCAGAGCCTTCCCATTCTAACTTCCTTTAAGGAAGGAAATGTGACAAACTAACTAATTTATGCTTGATGTTGTCACTTATGAGGGAAAACCAACTGGTCAGCTTTTATTATTCTATCTGTCATCGATAATTAAAAGTGACCTGAGTAGATGAAGTTATTTTTGGAACCCAAAGGGTTGTACAGGACAAATCCAGAAGTTGCTTGTTGTAGCTTTAGTGTCTCCTCCAGAGCAGGTTCTCGCATGTCAGGATACAGTTTGTGGGTGACTCTACCTTTTTATCGTTTCCTGCCTAATTAGTCCTCTGATGTTGTATTCAGAGTGACTGCTCAGTTTCCTTAGGTTTTTCACCACCCCACCTGATGAATGTTGGGTTTGCATCTTCTCCACAGCCCTGAGCAGAGATTCTCTGAGCACATCAAAGATGAGAAGAACTCTGAATTTCCACAGAGGTTTATTCTCAAGCGAGATGACACCAGCATTGATCGAGATGATAATCAGGTGAGACGAAATGGGGCACTATCGGCGGGGGACCTCCTTGAGGCCTCCCGGGCTTAAGGTTGCTGCAGGTGCAGAGGGTCTTTCTCGGCCAGGGTGGCAGCAGCAGCGCCTCAGTCTCCCTGCCACGGCTGGAGCTGCAAGGGGTGGAGAGAAAGAGAGAGACGAAGCACAGCTGATCGGCGGGGGGTTGTGATGATCGCGGGGAAGCGATCATCGCAAAGCCCTCCAGTCAGCTGGCCGAAAATGGGGGCTTTGCGATGATCGCTTCCCTGCGATCGTTGCAAAGCCCCCGTTTTCGCACACCTGATCGGCGGTTCCAAAATGGCCACCCGCTGTTTTGCCTCGCTTTAGAGGCACCCAAAATGGCCGCCGCTATGGAGGAATTTCGCTTAAGGTTACTTTCTAAGCCCATAGGAACGTATTAAACGCGTTTTAATACATTCCTATGGGCTTTTAAAAATAGCTTAGCGATTAAATCACTTAGCGATGTTTTTCCTGGAACGGATTAACATCGCTAAGTGAGGCACCACTGTACATTGTGATGGAAACACATAGGATTTCCAACCTGTTTTCTTCTTAATGCTAATAATAATGGCATTAACAGATTTTGCTACCATGTAGCAACCTGCTGTGTAGGTTGTGTGTTTCAGAACAGTGGGAATTGATTGATACCAGCTACCTGCAGTGCTTGAAAGCAAAATAATTTCTTGTTGATGTTTTCCATCAGTAGCGGCACAGCATACGGCATTTCCTAAATAATCTCACCAAATGCTGAAGAAGTGAGATTTTAAGCCAAGAGCAATTGTGCCAAACTGAGTTTCCCATGTGTGATATTCTTTTACTGTCCTGTTTTTTGTGGTACACCTCTATACCATGTTGTACCAATGTGATGCTCTCAGTGTTCACAGATCAGTTGTTCACTGGGTGTTTTTGCCTAGTTGCTCTGCTCAGTGCATGGCATAGTTTTAACTAAACTAGATTCTGTCTCTCAACCTAGATCAGAATCCCACTGCAGGATGGACGGAGGAGCAAATCCATAGAAGAGCGGGAAGAAGAATATCAGAGGGTTAGAGAACGCATATTTGCACGGGAGGTGAGCTTTGTTACTTAAGAGTAAAATCTTGTTCTTAAATGAGGCTCCCTATGATGTCTCATCCATCTAGCTGGCTAGATTCTATGGCTTCTTCAGTGATAGGCTCAAGCATTGGTTTGAAAACAAAAGAATGGAATTTAACAGGGATGAATGCAAAGTTCTACACCTAGGAAAAAGAAACAAAAGAAACCAAGTGTACAGTTGATAAGGGGGGTGCACTTGCCTTAGTGATACTGCAGGCAAGAAGGATTTGGAATTTTTGTGGGTCACAAGCTGAATATGAGCCAACAGTGTGATAAGGCTGCAAAAAAGGCAAATGCAATTTTAGGCTGCATTAACAGAAGTATAGTCTCCAAATTCCATGAAGTGATAGTTCCCCTCTGTTCAGCACTGGTTATACCTCATCTTAGGTAATATTTCCAGTTCTGGACACCACACTTTAAGAAGGACGCAAACAAAATAGAACAAATTCAGAGGAAGGCAACAAATGATGATCAGGGAACTGGCAACCAAACTCTGTGAGGAAAGACTGAAATAACTGGGCATGTTTAGCCTTGAAAAAAGAAGAATGTGAGGAGATGTGACAGCACAAGTATTCAAATACTTGAAAGATTGCCCTACAGAGGTGGAGCAGGATGTGTTCTCAATCAGAGTGCAGGACATAGATGAATATCAGTAAAAAAATGTCCTAAATGTTAAAGTAGTATGACAGTGCAACCAGTTACCTTGGGAAGTGGGGAGCACCTAATGCTGGAGGCGTTCAACAGAAAATTAGATAACCATCTCTCAAATATTCTTTTATTTGGATTTTTGTACTGAGCAGGGAGTTGGACTCATGGCTTTCAACTCCATTATTCTGTGATTCTATTGCAGTTTCTACGTATTCCCAAACCATTTCATTGAATGCGAACATATGGATAATGTACTGCTTTCAGCTGTAATGTAACTTAGTTGTCAGGATACTAGAGAGTGTGGAAAAGATTTGGAGGTATTTTCTGATGGATGACAAACACTGGGCTAAGAAAGATTTTAGGCCTTCGAAATACAGAGCTTGTTAAAGTACAGTAGGACCCCTATATATGTTGGGCATTGGTTCACTGCCGCCACCACCCCACGGATATTGAAAAGTGTGGATAATAGCGAACCATGATTTCACTTATCCACAGTTTTCATATATTAAAAATAGTCAAAGAAGATTTTTAAAAAACACTATTTTTCACATGTGTCACCATAACAGGCCACCAGATGGAGCCAGAGACCACACTATGAATACTTGTTAGTGAAGAATATATAGCGTGATCCAAGGCACCCTCTTGTCGGTGCCAGGGTCCATGTTTCAGTTCTGATGATTCATGTGAATTTTGTTGTTTTCCTTTTATCATGCTATATATACCAATTTGATCCACAGATACAGGGGTCCTACTGTAGCTGACAATTTCTTTTTAAAATCCAGCCATTTTTGTCCACTTTTGCATAACACCTGGTGGCGCTCTTGTAGCAAAGATCTCCATACTAGTTAGCCTCCTCAGCCCAAGCAGGCTGACCCCATTGGGCTGCCACAGTAAGTAAGCCAGTGGCAACCAGGGAGTCTACCAGTCATCTACCAAAATTGACAAACTGTGATACTAGAGCTAAAGGCATCTAGAAGGTCAGTAGAAGAGCAAGTGTGTGTGTTTGTGTGTGTGTGTGTGTGTGTGTGTGTGTGTGTGAGAGAGAGAGAGAGAGAGAGAGAGAGAACACAACAAAGAGTGGCCACAGCTATGCATTTCAGATGTTAAAAACTCATTCTCCGTTTCTAGAAAGAGTCAAATGCCTCCCTTTTTTTCTGGTAGTCAGGGTATTTTGAGCTGTATTATGTGCCAGATTACTTCTTTCGCTTGTGTACTGTATGTAGATCTTAAAATTTTTTGAGAAACACTTTATGCCTTGTTTCAGCTGATGTGTAAAAATGCCATAAGTTTGTTTAGATTTTTTTTCTTTTCAAGAAATCAGTATCTTGGTTTGTCTGGATATCTGCAGTTACTGGTTCACAGGAAGTCTAACAAACATACTTTGTTTTAGGTGGAGGGTTAAGATCTGGAGTAGTAGTTACAGGAATATTTTAGTACGGGCGCCTACAATCCCTATATTTAGAGTGATCACATGTTTGTGATTTTGATTAGCCATCATCGTTGTCATATGAGATTTTTTTCTTTTTTTTCTTTCTATTTCCAATCTTGTGGCTTTGCCTGCTGGTAGTCGGGCCAGAATGGATTCCTGAATGACAGCAGGTGAGTACACTTCATCCATGCTTTCTTCCATTCTTCAGTCTTTTTTAAGGAGAGAAGATTCCGTAACTCCGTAACAATACTTTTCTTTGATGTTAACCAACAGACTCTCCAAAGAAGGCTTTTCTTCTAGCTCTCACAAAAGGCGACAGATCTTTAGGTACCTCTGTGTGATTTCTTGCATACGTTTGTCTTGCAGAGCGAGTTCGCCCATGCATGGCTACTTATGGAGTCCTTCGAGTTATCATCTTTTGCAGCATTACTTAGTGTTTATTTTCTCCCCTACAATAAGATGAAAACTAAAACTTCTGCTCATTCATGGGCTTACATTTTTCATTGTTGGTGTCAAAATATATTTACTTAGAAAACAAAGTCTGTTGATTTGGTGCTGCTTATGCCCAGTGAAATGTGCTTGAGATTGCAGGCTTGTGTAGGCTGAGTTAGTAGGCATGAGATGCAAGAACCAAGGATGCCTGATCTTTGGCTGATATGCCTCTGCCGTGTGTTGAAACTTCAGGAAAATATAGGCCTGTGCCTCATGATACAAGTAGATATCTGAAATCCCTTGAAATCAGATGGATATTGGTAAAATTCGACATAGCAAAACTGCTCAAACACAAACTTTAAAAATAAATTTTACACAGGAAAGGGAAACAACAAGCTATTGTATATAAGGGGTCCTCCTGCAGTAGCCATCTTAAAACACCGGAAACATCTCCAGAAACATTGGCTAGATAGAAAGGAGCTGAAGATCTAATTCTTGTCCCCACAGCTAACGCTGCAGGTATAACCTTTTATGATGTCTTATCAATGGGGTAGATTTCTAAAGGAGATGAACATTGCTCAGTCTTCTCTGATGACACATGACATTTCCACTATTTCAGAGGAAATGTTTTCTTTTGAACTGGGCACAAGATCATTCGGATATGGTTGCTCCATAGGGAATAAAACCCATTTACATGTTCCCCTGGCCAAATGTGACTAGCACTTGGAAACGGTGGAACTTCAGGGCTATTGGTTGCTTTACTTAATTCAGTTTTTTTGTTTGTTTTTTTAAAAAAATCCAAAATCATAAATTTATCTGGGAAGCTTGTAGTTGAAACAGAAAATAAGTTGTCAGCCAAAATCCTTTTGTGTAGCTACACAGGTGGCATAACTTTTGGAAACCAACTGCCTGTAGCTAAGAAACCCCCTGGACGTTATCAGTTCACCTCCCAAAGTTAAGCTGTTGTGCTACTCCGTCACAGCTGAGTGAATTTTGACCATCAAACCATAAATTAAAAAGTGGCATAAATATAAGAGGAAAGAACAAGGCTGTAAACAACTGCAAAGTTGAAATGCAGATTTCAGAACTTGAGTGGCCTGGTTTGTTTGAATTATTTAAAAGTCTTTTGTGAACAGAAAGATCTTCATGTGGCACTGGAAAGGCCACAAGGATGGCAGCAGCTGAACTTCTCCAAGAAGGCGATTCCATGAGAGGGGTGCCACTTTGAAAACACTGTTTTCTTGGCAGCCTGGATTGAAGGTGTTAGTATGTTATGTGTTTCAAGGGCTAAAGGAAGAAAGTAACTCAGTCACAAGTCATTTAGGCTTTTGCAAGATTAAACTCCACAGTTTGAATTGAGATGAAAAATGGGCTGGGAGCTAGTGGAGCCGCCAGAACACAGACACACATAGTCAAATAACACAGTCCTGTTTAATAAATCCACAGGACTATTTCAGAATAGCTTTTCCCTCAAAATCATATCTAAGGGCAAACACTCTGTTCTCTATCAGATATTGATAAAATACTGCATTGAGTCTTGCAGTGGTGCACAAGCCTTCTCTTTTATTAATATGTACTCAATATAAACTCTCCAAATATCACTAAAAACATTCTTACTAACCAACTGCTTTTAAGCCTTAATATCGCAAGCTAACATATTATTAATAGCTATATTCCAAATATCTTTATACCAGTTGATTTTATACCAATTTTATACCAGTCACAAACTAACATCTGCAAAATTAATGGTAGGCAAGAATTGGAAAGTAAAGTATGAATGCACTTTCCAGTTCTTCACTATCATTTATCTTGCAGCTTTTGGTAAGTTTGTTATTAATTCTTTTACAGTCCAATACCATTGTTCTCTATCAAATATTGATAAAAGTGCTGTTCTAGGCTTGGCCCTATATTTAACTTTACTATTTCACTAATTTCCTTAAAAATCAAGCTCATGCAGAATTAGATCAATGAAAGAACTTTGCAATTGCATTGTGCTTGTTCCTCAAGAGGGGTATTTCAGTCAAATGGCATTTGTGCAAGGCTTGAGTAGCACACTTGGCCTGTTGCAAACCAGATTAATGTAAGGATCAAGCCAGGACTCCTGTGTACATGGGAAGCCTCCTGTTCCTTTTAATAGGACTTGCAGGGAATATCGTAGAGGACTGTGTCCTGTGAGTTGTAGCTGTCTCCCATTCTGCTGTCCTTCCTTAATGGCAACTCCACAATCTGTCTCCTGGTGCAGCTTTCTCCCCTTGCTCTCACATGAAAGGCGCCTCTGGTGTTTTCAGGACATTCCTAGTAACCTGAAGTTCTGTATTTAATTAGTTCTTATGGGAATCTAACAAAAGTAAGAGGCGAGCACAGATGAGGAACTCAGCTGCAGACATAGTGGCTCATCTTCAAGTGACCAAATGTAACTAAGGACTTATACACCGGCGGGGGTGGGGGCATTGCTCAGTGCTCAGCTTGAGAACAAAGAATGTTGGAGCTTTCCCGCTCCTGCATTTCCAGTCTCACATGTGTTCCCATATAGGACTTGGAGATTGTCCAGAAAGCCAAGATTTAAAGTGCAAGGCAATCCGTCTCACTGCTCAGGCTGAGGCTTATTGATACAGCCAGAGAGGGCGCAGTCTACATAGAATTTATCTTGGACAAGCTTCCTTGACGAGACCAACCTTTGATAAGACCACTGCTAGCCAATTTAAAAAATATCTTGTACATTTTGTCAAGGGTATGTTGGAAGTTTGTACAGCTCTTGGTTGAGTTGGCTGTAAATTCAGCCTCCTCCATAAAAAAGAAGATACAGAAAAGATAGTGGTCTGAAAATGGCCATAACTTTTTTCAGAATCTTATTTAGCTGTAGTTTAGGAGCAACTAAAATACTTATTAGCCAATTGTAATATTTTCTCTCTCTTTTTAAGGTACAGTATATAATTGGCAGTAGATGGCATGGGGGTGGGACTACCTGAGAATTTTCTCCCCATTGCTGATAAAATTTCAGGTCCTGCAATATCTAGTGTGCTGACCTGATGATGTTGTTATCTGCAGATCCTCTCATTCTCCAAAGACCCATCAGACTGGTTTTAGTACCCTGGGATAGCATGGTGCCTCTTCAATTTGCCATTGTTGAGTTAGGCACCACCACCAGCCCTCTATGTTTTCAGGAGATGGCACTGCATCTGAATGCCAGCCGTCCCCTTTTTATGTCAAAGAAATGAATGTTCCTCATGTTTCTGTCTCTCCATCAAGAATTGAAAGAAAGCCACCAACTTTTTTCCTGCTTGGGAGGCAAGGCATGGCTTGTTAAGATTTCTTTGAAAACTGAACTCTTGTTGTTTCCCCTTGTTTTGGCTGAAGCCCCTTGTCTATTTTTTTTTTAACTGAGCCCTCTGGCACTAGCTGAGAGTGCATTTAGGGCATTCGTTCTCATTCACTGAAGCTCATGTTTAAACTAGTTTGTCACCGCGATGTAAAGTCATGTTGATCTTAAAGAGTTTGTTGGAGCTCTGATAAGAAAAAGAAGCCAGATCAAGAAGCAGCTAAAGGAATCTGTTATGCTGATTTATCACCTAAGATGGCAAGGTATTCACTTATGAAAAGGAAAGAGGAAGCTTCTCAGTGTACAACAATATTTTTATTGACCCCAGGGTGCTTCAAACACAAATCCTCCTTCAGGCCATTATTCGGTACAAAACTCTTTTGTCTCAGTTGCTGTTGGGAAAAGTACTTTGTTTGCCCACAGTGTTGAAAGCTATAGGCCTATGTTGGTTTCACTAAGAAGTGAAGAATGGTTTATGTTTGAAATGTAGAGGCTTGTAAACATCCATATGTAGCATACATAGATTTCCTCCCTTCTTTTCTTACATTTGCTTCTCTCACATTTTTTCTCTAAGTCTCAGCATAGTCCCCTTGATTATGCTGAGTGCCTGAGGCAGTACTGTGAAGCTAATGGAATTCTGTTAGTATATCTCAGGATTTGATTTTTGGGAACACTAACATTTTTGTCCCTTTGATTGTGTTGATAAGGTTGAAACTATGCAAGTATGAGTCTCAAAGGCCTTGTGATATAAGCAATGTTCCTCATATGAGTTGTGTTGTGAAAGCCAGAATCCTGTTGCATAGCTCTTTCTGTGCAATAGGAAAGGCATCATCATCAGTGGTAGATTGATGCAGATTAAAGAATTCCTTTTTTTTGAATACTTGGGTGTGCACAACCATGTCTCATTATGCATGAGTCGTGAGTACTTTGAAGTTGAAAAAAGAATTCTTCAGTCTGTGGCAATCTGTCACTGACAGTGAAATCATTCTTATCAGATATGTGGAGTTGAAATATGGAGTGACTTGCATAATCTCAGGATAGGAGTGAACAGTTTCAGAGTTCATGGCAGCACTAACTGCCTGAACCAGGAGCTATAAAGTCATTATAAAAATGAATTCCAAATAGTTACAATGCCAAGATCTCTAAAAGGTAGTTATTTGCAGTTATATAAATTTTTAAAAAGCTATTGTTTATTTCTCATTATTCAAAAATAACTAATCAGTTGGTTTTCATTAAATTTAAAAAAAGTACATTACTGTATTATAGTCTATTGGCCTATCATACAGCATACATCTAAGCAATGAGACTATATATACCTTACACCTATAAAAATAACGAAAGCACCCACAGTTGCATTACAAAAAGAATGAGATATTTCATCAAAATATAGTCATAATATAACTTTAATAGATCTTAGATATTTTAAAAAAGAAAATTAATTTCTGTTTTCTAATTAGTTACTTCTGAGCTCTACTGGAATATTCAGAAAATGATTTAGCATACATGCCTTGAGATTCATTATACATGCATTGTTGAAATCAAGTTAAGTGTCTAGACAACATATGGTAGATCACAATGGCCTTTCAGCCCCTCTGACTAACTAACTTTTGAAATACTTTCCATTAGGGTCTTTTGTTAAATATATTTTTGGAGGCTTGGACATCACTAGTTATAAACAGCCTTTTGTACTCCTGTATTTTTTACAGCTACACACTCTTTCATCTGTCGTTTCCGGACTTTTAAAATTCAGAAATAACCTTTTCTTTTTTTGCCCCCTTCTCATACCAGTTGGGCTAACAGAAGTTTATTTTATTTTTCCACACTTGCACTGTTGTACTCCCTACTTTGCTGGGGGGAAAGTTGTGATGTTTTGAGCTATATTTTTGAGGTGATGCATGCAAGGAGCAGGATAAGCACATCACTTTGGATAAACTTCCAAATTATTATATACCCTAGAAAGGAAAGATATTTGGAGTCCTGTGGTTTAACTAACTTGATTTTTCAGTGATCTGTGTGTCTCACATCTGCATTTGAGGGGGCAAAAAAGAAAACAAAAGCCCTGTGGTCCTTAAACAAGAAGATATTTTGATACCCATGTCTTGGTATTCCTTTCTAATCTGATGGCTGCTTAGCTATCTCTCTATAATGCAAGAGTGGGTAATATACAGATATACAGAGACCACTAAAATCTACAAAACCTGAGCTTTCTCACCTTCTGGAGGTTTTGAGATTTTAATGGAGATGTTATCCATTTAAAGAAAGATAGCTCATCTGCTGCCATATTACAAAGGGGCAATGAGACATGGACACCAAAATGTGTTTTTTTCCTGCCCATATACTCTTATCTTGGCAGGCCAGTTTACTTTTACATCTCTGTTCCTGAGTAGCACTTGAGCTACTGTCATGGAGGCCATTGTCTATGTAAGGTGGTCCATTTTGCCATGCGTGTGCAGATGATTCATCTGTTTCCATGCTACCCTATTTGAAGACCAGCAGCCTCACTTGTTCCCCTACGCTGGCTCTTCTAAGTGTAGCGACCTGTGCTCATCTGTCCGTTCTTCCAGTGCCAAAGAATACATCTGATTCCTTGAATGTATAGGCATGAGCCTCCTCCTAACCACTGTTATCTCTGATGCAGGGGTAATCGTGACGGGCTCAGCCGGGCTTCGGGTAGCCGCCAGAGCAGCACAGAGAGCGATCTCAAGTCACTGGAACCTCGGCCATGGAGTAGCACAGACTCGGATGGCTCGACTCGCAATCTGAGGCCTCCTGTCACTAAAGCCAGCAGCTTCAGTGGCATTTCTATTTTGACACGAGGAGACAGCATTGGTGGCATTGGCAAAGGGAGCAGCGCTGGACGAACTGTCAGGCCAGGTATCAGTTCCCGCTTCATTGCCCTCCTTTAAGCAAAAGGAGAAGGCCTTCTGAGAGCAGTGGTAAGCCTGGGTGGGGCGGGGACAGATCAGGATTACAACAAGTCTTATTCCAACTAAGCCATGGGTTTTGCATTCTTCAGTGCCGGTGAAGAGTTGCCACGTGGGCTGAAACCCATATCTTTCAGTGCTTGGGCAAATTAGCACTCTGTAAGGAAGCAAACCTGTGGAAGAGGAAACTAGAAGTTGCCTGTGATGTGGATAATATAACTCACTGAGGGTTGTAGTACATTTTGCCTAAGGTGGGAAATATACTTGCAGTGAAGCTCTGGAGGTGGTACTAGGAGACATCCTGGTAGCAGTGGTTTCCCAAAAGCCTTTTCCCATTACAGAAATGGCCTAGGTGCCTCACAGAAGGTCCCTGCCCTGGTTGCATGCTAATCCTAATAAATTTCAGCAGTCTTCTTGGTGTTGACCTTGGTGACAGAATAGTCATTGACTGACATTTATGACCTGTCCATGCACTAAGCTGAATGAATGATAGCTTTTATGAAGGACCCCTTGTGGTAGCTTAGTGATGCCCCTTTTCTAGCCATCTTCCTTGTGTTGACTTGAATTCAGTCAGTGACTGTCCCAGTGTTAAGTTGCCAAAATATTTTGACTGATATCATTAGGAAAGATGATTCAGCTCTTTCCAAGGCAGCCTTTGCTTTGTCTTCCAACTATTTAGCATCACATTTCATGTGCTTGAGTATGATCTCTATATCTGTACTTTTCTATTCTGTTTCATAAAGATCAGTAAGAGGACTTTAACAGGATGTTGAATGAATGTGCATCTATGATGTGAACTTTATCCAGGATATCTAGATCATTTCTGGAATACTGGCATACTAGGTGTCCCCAAGTACGTGGCTTCAGATCTGTGTGATTTGCAAAGTCTGGTACAGTGGGCCCTCGACTTACGAACTTAATCCGTTCTGGAAGGATGTTTGTACCTCAAGAAGTTCATAAGTCGAAGTACCGTTTCCCATTGAAATGTATGGGAACGGAATTAATCCGTTCCAGCATTTCAAAAAAATACCAAAATAAAAATAAAAAGAGCAAGTCCCACGTTGGGGCTGCAAAAAATACACACACACACACACACTCACAAACCCCCCACAGAAACATAACCCCCCAGTCCAAACCCACTCTCCAAAACCCACACAGAATTTTTTTTTAAAAAAAGGACTTACCAGTCCGAAGCCTGCCGGTACTCCACTACCTCCGTGCGGCCGGGGGCAAGCGGCCAAGCGCCTGGCCAGCTCTAGCCTCCCGGCGCTGGGTGGCGTTTGGTGGCTCCTAAGCCAAAAGGCAGGGAGAAAGGGCGGGAAATTCAAATTTCCTGCCCTTCGTCCCCGCCTTTGGAGCTTTCAAAGGTCTCCCATGGTGGCGTGCAAGCCCTGGGAGACCTCCCTGGGGGTCCCCGCTGCAATCGGCAGCTTCGGAGGTTTCAAAGGGCTTTCCCCCAACATCGGAGGAAGCCGTTTAAAACCTCCAGAGCCAAAAAGGCAGGGAGAAATTCGAAGTTCCCACCCTTTCTCCCTGCCTTTTTGGCTGCGGAGGTTTCAAAGGGCTTCCTGTGATGTCGGAGGAAGCCCTTTGAAAGCTCTAAAGGCAGGGAGGAAGGGCAGGAAATTCGAATTTCCCACCCTTTCTCCCTGCCTTTTGGGTTCGTAACCCGATCCACATTCGCAAGTTCGGAACCTGAAATGTTCACAACTAGAACCGTTCGTAAGTCGAGGGCCCACTGTACTGTGTTGAAGACTTGGTTGTTGCCCAACCCAGTGGCTTAGGACTGCTTGAAAAATGACTAAACTCTTATAAAGTAAATTCTTCTGAATAGGGCAAAAACATAAATTTTAGATCATCTTGTGTAGCTATCAAAATCACTATATGCAAGGACTGGGAAGTTCTGCTTAATTGTGGATTTGCAAAACTATGTGTGGTGAAGCAGGCATCCATGGCTTACAGGAATTCCCCCTGTAAACACTTACTTTCCTTGTGAACAGTATGCAAACCCATTGTCTGATCAGAAAACATGCCCCAGTGTAGCTCTTAGTCTCCTGCTTTTTGCAGTCTTCTATTGTGCCATGTTATCAGCAGCTTAGCTGCAGGAAGCCCATAGCTACAGTAGCAGCTTCCCAGCTCAGGTGATCAGACCATACTGCAAGCCTCCTTAGTATGTATTGCTGGATGCTGACTTAGACCTGCATTTATTGGATGAGTTTGTTAAGTTTATATAATAACTAAGCAACACCTTCTATAATCAGCTTGTCTTGATTTGTTAAGGATGTGAGCTAGCACAGTGAACAGTAGAAGGATTGCCAACGCTGAAATAGCAGCAGCAGCAGCCCTGCAGAATTCTGGCTATGGATAAGGAATTCAACCTTCATCCTCATTCTGAGGTTCTCTGGTACTGTTAGTTAGTATACAACATACTCACAACTATAGATTGTTTATTACCAGACTTTCCTATGTGCAGACTAGGAACACTTGTGAATCCTGGAAAAATTATCTCAGGAATGAACTGCCTGTCTAAGATCATAGATCTTAGGATGGGACAATCTGATTGTGAAACTCAGTGCTACCTCACTTTTGTAACAAGAAAAACTATGCAAGTATCACTGTGGTTGGGGCACCTGTTGGAAATGAACATGAGTTCAAGATGAGTTACTGTTTCATATGAGATATTGAGCCTGTGGTCTATTGAATGGCAGTACTGTAATCAGATTTAGGCACTGTGAGGGAAACGATAAGAGTATAGTGGACAGACTGTTGTTCACATGCTTTAGTAGTTGTACACAAGCTTCGTAAGGTAGAATACAGGCTTTGCGAGTAGAAGTTCTCAGGGTCATTCCATGGCTTCTTCAGCGTGGTCTCTGTGAATCCACACAAAAAGGGGTTAATCCAGTGCCAGCGATGGTCATCTCGGAATATTCTAGAGCTTGAATAGAAAAAGAAACAAAGTTTAAGGTTGCCTGCACTGCGCATTCTCCGCCCACCCTAGCCTCAGTTCCATTTCTCCGCTGTGCGAGTTGGAACCTCTTGGTTTGAGCTCTTTCTATATCACTATTCTTATTCGATTTTTATGGGTTTTTTGACTCGTGCACGTTCCTGACTATTCGTCCTATCTCCAATCCTGACTCGGGTTTCGGTATTTTGGACTTTCGCTCGGATTCTCCCTTCAATTTGGTTGCCTCAGATTTTTCCCGCCATTTTTACTGGCTCGACTTCGTTGTCAAATTTTCTCCTTTTTGCCTTATGTCCCCCTCTGGACCTTTTAGCCGATGCGTCGTCTGTGATAGAAAACTACCTTTTCACGGCAGGCACAATCGCTGTCTTTTTTGCCTTGGGGAGTCTCATTTGACTCAGAACTGTAAACACTGTAAAGCTTTCACCAAGGCTGCGCTAAAGGCTAGACAACAGAGACTAAGGTACCATCTTTGGGACTCTACCCTATATTCCTCTAGACTGTCATCAGTGGAGCTTCCTTCTACTGTCTCTACCTCCTTTGCAGAATGTAGCTCCCCTCAGCTACCTGTTGTCAAGGCTTCAGGAAAGCCTGTGGAGAAACCCCCTAAGAAGACCGCTGCTGCTAAAAAATCTTCGAAAGGGGCAGCCACTAAGTCTACAAAGCAAGCGAAGGAGAAGGAGTTTGTAAAGAGCAAAGAGACGCTTAAGAATCTACCGCCTGTCTCTGCTTCCCTCCCTTCCCCGCTCTTGGAAGATTCGTTGAGGGACAGAGAGTCTCTGTCGGAGGTGGCCGCTTTGCTTCCTCCTTGACAGGTTGAGCCAGTCCCAAGTTTGGGTATTTCGTCTCCTACACCAAGCCAGCTTGCCAATGTCACTGCAAGCTTGGTATCTGCCCCTCACAGCCCTGCCCCGTATCTACTTGGTGGGCATCTCTGGCTCATTCCGTTTCTTCTGTGGCTTTGAGCCTGAGTTCGCCTCAGCGAAAACGAACCCATAAGCGCAAGCATATTTCTCCAGACCGACGTCGATCACCAAGGAAGGAGGTGGTGCTGGTTCATTGACATTCTCGACATCGACAAAGATCACACTCGGAGGACTCTGATGACTCCGACTATAGGTGTAAAAAGTATCGACGTCGAGACCGAAGAAGATACTCTTCTGGTTCTTCTTCGACATCGTCGGATTGGCATCAAAGCCGAAGGAGGGTAGAATATGTTTATACCTCGTCATCTTCATTATCGACCCCTCCTAAGAAGCATCGACGCTGAAAGCGTCTTGATGTTGAGAAGCCTATGAAGCCTGTACATCATACAGAGCAGCCTGCAGGAGCTTCAGCCCCCGCTGCTTCGGCATCGACAACTTTGTCATCATAGCAACCAAAATCCTAGGGCCTCGGCGTCGTAAGAGGCACCATACGTTTTCATCAGACGATGAGGCCCCCTTTTCTTCTCAAGTGTCCATGTCCAATGATGAATCACCACAACAGCCTTCCAGAGAGGAATTGCCTGAGGGTGAAGTGGTAGGATCTGACACTGCTGATACCCATGCTTCCTCGTCTTCAGAAGATTTTTCATCCTATTCCCAGATGTTGTCCAGGTTGGCGAAGACTCTTAAGCTTCGTGTTGATGAGCCTACTCCTCCTGAGGAAGACCTTATTTTGGGGGACATTAACAGTGAACGATCACCTCCTCCTACTCTGTCCTTCTTGAAATTATTAAGGAGTTTTGGGGCCAACCATCCACTACACCTTCATTGTCAAGGCGTACTGAGAATTTTTATCGTGTGAATGGCGGTGAAACTTAAGTTTCTACTGAAGCATCCAACTCCTAATTCGCTTATAGTCGAGACTAGCTGCACGAGACCTACAGGGAAGTCTCATGTTACTCTAACGAATAAAGAGGGAAAGAAGCTGGAAATGCTTGGCAGGAAAATCTATTCTCTTATCGCCTTTATGCTAAGAGTAGCTAATTATCAGACCGCTTTAGG